TCGTGATGAGGTCTGATTGTGTTTGAGGAGGTTTGTGTTGTTAAAGTGCCTGATATGTTTAGAAATTGAACAATTGGTGGGATGGAAGGTCTTTTTGAAACAGTTTGGGTGCCTCAAAACAGTCGATTTGTTAACAACACACACAGCACACTGGATTGTAGATGATCCTACCGCCAGCCACGTGTGATTGCTAATGTTTGCTGCGTTTTTTGTTTTTCTAAATCACAGATCTGAATATGAAAAATGTTTGAGGTCCTACAGACTCATCATGTTAACCAGAAAAAATAGTTTTCATGATTTTTACAGCTAATCTTTTTTTTTTTTTTTTTTTCTTTTTTTTCGGCACATAGATGATTTGAACAGTAATTATACTTGACCGCTCTCCTTGGTCATGATGTTTTCTAAATGGTGCTTTTGGTCTCCTGGTTCCAGACCTCTAAATGCATTTCATTTGGTTTATTTACTAAAGAAAACCTTTACATCGGCTAAAAACATCAAAAATACACTCACTGTTCACCAACCTGGTTTTCCCGATGATGAAATGATCAAACTCAAGGCAGCAGCTTTGATTCTTATTTATTTTTCCCTTTTTTTGGTAAATGTATTTAACAATCTCAAACGAGATTATAAATTTTGTGTTTGAGAAGGATTCGCTGTCCCAGCCTTTGAAATTCAGCTTTTTATTGCTGGTTTCTGTCTCATTTGTTTTCACAAACAAATTTGGATTAGTGCAGCTACAAAGGCCTTATTTTCAGTCATTTGCATGTTTAAAAAAATAAATCAGAAGTCTGTAAACTCTGAGGGCGATGCATCAAATTTCTTTTGTTGGCCCCCAAGAGTCTAAAATCTAAATATGTGTGGTTCATTATCATGTATGATGAAGAACGGTAACGTGTTTTCCTTGAAATATAATGAAATTAAATAAAAATGCACAATGCATCAGCTGCTATTGGCCCTGCTGACTGATCTCAGCAGCTATAATCACTGATGCAGGGCCAGTATTTATCTGGTGCATCCCATCCATTTTGAGCTAGCCAGACATGAAAAATTTATGGAAAGAGCTTTATTTAAAAGAAGAAGAAATAATGACAACAAAAACCAGTATCTGACAAGTTGATATAAATTGGCCCCGAAAATCGACTAATCATTGCAGTTTGAGTGCCAAGATGACACTTTTCTCAAAAGCAGAGTTATCTTTACGTTTTGTTTTTTCCCCCTGGAGGGTTTTTCCTCTATTTGGATTTGCAGGTGGTGATGTTGACATCTTTGTTTATTTTTCAACTTTTAGTCCGTCATTGACGTCTCTGCACTGCTGTTATTGTTGGACACCCAGCCCCACGCAGGCTGTTGCTCATCTCAAACCTTCAGTTTACTTTAACACACATGAAGCCTTCAGGTTTCATCCCTTGGACCAAACCCATGTGCCTGGTCGGGGTGAGTGCTGACGCTCTCCTTGCCACGTGTCACCAGAATCAGCTGCTATAAGAGGAGTTTTATTTAATATTTCAGCAGATAAACATAAATACTGTATATTTATACGCAAAAAGGATATTTTACTGCACTTAACAGAAATTCACGGGGGAGAGAAGTGCTCGTTAGGTTTCTTTATGTTTGGCCGAGGCTGTTTCTTAATGTCAGACATTACCAGCATTTCTTTTAGTTGTTTTTATTTTGGGGGGGTTGTTTGCTTTTTACTTGAACAATAGCAAAAGTAATGGCGGGCATATTTAACGTTGTTTGCTGGTGCTCTGGTCGTCTCTGTAAGTTGACCTTTAGACAGCCTTATTACAGGAACCCCCTTCTCCACTAGTGATGCCACAGGACTTCAGATGCCTTTTTTTTTTTCCCCTTTTAAAGAAAAAAAAAACATATTTATATTTACATTTAATAATGAAATACATGTATTGCTTATTTTTCTAACAAAGTCCTATTTAAAGCAGAAGCCTAATAACTAATAACGTAGAGGTCTGCGATAACTTTCCAAATTTAGGTTTATGTATGTGATCGAGGTTTGTCTTGTCATAGAGCGATCAGATGAATCCTCAGCCCTCCGCACACTCTGTTTGTGTTATCATCTCAAAAGCTCATCTGAGAAGCTTTAGGACATTGATTTTTATTCATATACTAAACCTTTTATTTTGCATATTAATGAGAGGAGGCTTTGTTTTTGGGGGGTTGTTTTCCTGTCCGTTACAGACTGTGCCTTTTTCTGATGGTGCTGGAAAAAAAATGTTCAAAGTGTGCTGAGCCCAGAGTCTACATTAATACGTATATATTAATACCTGGAAATACTGTAATGTGTGTGGATACCTCTGACATGTATGCCAAGAACACAAAAATATGCAGAATTTATCCGTTTTGAGCTGACAGGACCAAAAGGCCTGCAGGGATTGGTTTATTGAACGGGCACTCGAGCACAACCTAAAACCAAACATTTTTCAGTAATACAAATCATAACTTGGGCGAGTGGGTTGGGTAAGAAGCACTCATGACTCGTAGGTAACGAATATCTCAGTGTAGACATGATGTAGCATATTTATTTATTTCTGTGAGGCGTACTGCATATTGTCCTCGGTTGGCGTTTTGTGTGTTCATTCTTAAATGGACAGCAATAATGAAGCAGCTGTAAAATTTCTGTGCAATCGGTTTGGCCGGCCTTCCTTTTTCTCCGTGTTTGGGTGTCTCTGTATGAAAACTTCATTTTGTTTTCGAATGCGAAGTTCAGACGTTTACAGACTTGGACAAAGAGCTTTTGTTTCTCCACGAGTGCCCGTCTCCCATGTTAAGGGATTCCCCACAAAATGAATGAATCTTTAGATGCCTCTGAAGGTTGGCTGCATATCATTCTTGAAGGAAAAAAAAATTTGAGTTTGAAAATGTTTTTTTTTTTGTTTTTTTTGTTTTTTCTTAATTTATGATATTAATAAGTACAACTGTATGTTAAAGGACTTTTAAAGTTTGTCTTAACACTCACCTGATCCTGGTCCTAAGTTGAGCCTTTTTTTCTTTTTTTTCTTTTTTTTTTAATTTGTCATATTTAATTTTTGGAATAAATACTCTATGTATAAAAGTTGTGTTGCTGTCGTGATTTGAAGAAAGTGTCACATCCAGTCTTTGTTTCCAAACATCACACTGAGGCTTTTTGCAAAATCTGAGACGCATGAGTCTAAGGAGAGCTACTTCTGTCCTTCTTAGCTTTAAGCTGAGGCTGATTCTCCAATAATGGCTTTACTTCCACCACCTGACTGCTAGACTAAAAACTGAAGGGAGCCCTCGGTCATCAGTGAAACACAAAGTGCTGTTGCATCCAAATATGGATGGACTTGCCCTTTCTTTGTAAATCAAGGTGTTGCTCTTTGCAGAAACATTACAAATGCTATGTTGTTATTGTGATATCGAAAAATGCTGCTGTAAAATAAATCCCATTAGCTGCAGTCCTAGCTAAACTAATAAACTAGCTGAGCTCTTGGTATGCACTAGTATCTTACTACGCAAGTAATTAAGTAGTAATAAAAGCAGTCCAGAGCAAATGTTTTCAAAATGTATTTCCAGTTTTCTTTTAAACACGTTAGTATTTTTACAGTGCATTATTCGTGTTTGAGGTATTTCTACATCCATGCAAAAACCATGTAAGTAGTACTCAAACACACCTGCTTCCAGCATTCAGCCTGACGGCTCAAAATAAACTGTTTGTGCACACTGAGTGCAGTGTATACTTGGATACGATAAAGGGCTATGAGCTGTGTGCATCTCTGCACCTGCGCATGAGTGCGGTGTTCATTATTATTGACAGGAAATGGCCTGAAGTCGGTTATCAGTTACTGTCTGAAGTCTCTGCAGAGCACAAATACACACACTTTATAACTGTGTCACTACATCCATGTTTAATCTGTGTCTACACTTCCGGGCCGTCTGTGCTCATAACTTCATATTAGCTCAGCAATGTACAGTCTCTCCGCTTCCTGCCTATATGGTCTAACGTGGGTTTTTTAATTGCTTTATCTCTATAAAACACTTATCTTTAATTAAACGGTGTCCTTGTTGAACTCTGAGTGACATGAGTACAGCACAGTGTATACAGCAGGTGCTCTGAAAGGCCCGTTTCCTGCTACATTTATAGCCAAAAGACAGACGGAGTGCACCTTTAGCCTCTGAGTAAAGATAAACAAAAAGATAATAAGCTTTAACTTTATAACAGTCTGGACCTCCGTAGATTACCATTCCACCTGAGCAAATAACTAAAAACAAACAAAACACCTTTTTAGCTATTACTGTATTTAAAGTGTAATGATAAAGAAGTGTTCTTTTTCATCATTAAAATAATAACTTTCATTTTCAAAAGCTGGTCCACAGATCTCAACCAATCCAAAATGGGCTTCCACAGGGCTCCGTCCTTGGCGCACTTATTTTTGCATTTTTCTAATAAGTTATTTCTCCTACTCAATTTTTCAGCATTTTATCCACCTAAAAAAAGACAAAACTTCATTTAAAATACATTATCCTCCTTTGGAGAGTTTTGAAACATTTATCAGAGTTTGTTTTCATAGCTTCTTATTTCTTTGGTTGTGTAGTTCTACTAGTTTGGTTTGCAGACTGTGTTTATATCTAATTGTTTTCATTTTCTCAGATCTTAATCACAATAAGACCTGATTCAGGGGGAAAAATAATAATTACTGTATTTTTAGGAGATAAAACTAATCTACTAAACCAGATTTTTCTTTAGCTCTTATTTAAAGTCCTATTTAAGTTGGTAACGAAATACTATGGTCATTTATGACATCAGTTTATAAAATCAACAGTAACACAGTTAACACACATGACAATACAGAAATTAATTCATATCACTCAAACTCAGCTTTAAATATTTTACCTTAAATAAATTAAACCACTGACACCAACAGGAACTGACTCAGTCTCACAGTGGAACAACATTTCCTGGCTTTTCATTTTGTCCATATCTTTTGTATAAAATAAATACGTTCAGAATTTCTCTAGAACTTTCAAGAAGGTTCCGCTTTCTTGTATTTTTCAGTTTCTGGTTTCTGTTGAGGACGGTGTTGAGTCTCTTCACACCGCAGGATGTGCAGCTTTGCTGTGATGTTCCTGAAGCAGTGCTTTAACATGCTTCTAACGGCTGACGAGGACAAGTAGAAGATAAATGGATCCAGGCAGGCATTTAAGGTGCTGGAAAGCAACGCCACAGTCCTCCACTCCTGATTCTCCTTATTGACAAAGCCTACCACATGGGAGATGTTGTAAGGACCAAAACAGACGCAGAATACGATCAGTGTGCCAAGAGCCAGACCAATGCATTGCAGCCTCCGCCGCCTGCTGATATTTGGGAGACGGGACAGGATAAGGATTAGGTTGACGTAGCAGAAGCAGCAGATGATGAAGGGGATGCAGAAGAGGACGAGGAAGAGCTCGAGGCGGAACGGCAGCAGGATTGCAAGCTCTTTGTCTGAGAAATTCAGGTAGCAGCTAGGTGGAGGTGTGGCGGGAGTGCTGCCATTGGTGTGTCTCCACTGGAGGTAAGGCATGATGTAGACGACGATGAGGTTCAGAGACGTTAGCAACCAGAACATGACACAGGCCAACAAAGCATAACGAGGCCGCCGATGGAGGGAATGCCTGATGGGGTGGGCGACCCCTAGGTAACGCTCCACACTCACGGCGGTGAGCAGCAGGGTGCTGTTGTAGATGGTGACATAGAAGAGAAACCCAGTGAAGGGACAGAGGGAGTAGGGCAGCAACCACTCCATGTCATCAAAGGCCTCCTTCATTTTAAAAGGCAGCAAAGCCAGGAAAATCAGGTCGGAGATGGTCAGGTTGAGGAGGAGGATGTCTATCGGGGTTGGCTTGCGATACACCTTGCGGCAGAAGGTACCAAATGCCAGGATGTTGGCGGGAACTCCCATGAGGAAGGTGATAATGTAGACAGAAAGCAACAGATTGTATGCCATGGTGTCTTCTTAGGGACACACTCTCACAGACACTGCAGGGAGGAAGAAAGCAAGTTGTGATCAAGTAGCACCAAAGACTCAGAAACAGCTCATACTTACATTTTTCTTAACTTTACATCAGAAAGAAAGAAAGCTTAATAGAAAAACAGCTAATATATTTCATCTGCCATAGAGATGTGAATGTTTATATAACTCCATGCATCAATATTAATAAGTCAGTTTATCTTGTTTGCAAAGGAAACCAGTTCTTGTCTTTTGCATTTGTTTGTTTGTTTGTTTTTTAAGCTAAAATGTTTAAAAAATACACAAAAGAAGGTTTTTCAGAAAGTCATCAGCCTGCTCTTTCCTTGCCACTACCAGGTAAAGGCACTGAACTTTGGCTTTAAACACAGAACAAATCAAGCAGCGGTCACAACAGCACATTATCTTCTCTAAAGCTTCACACGCTCTTTGACATCAGATTCAAACATTTGCAAATAATAATTTCCGTAAAAGAAAAGAAAAAAATCCACAGTGGAATATTCTAACACATCAGTTGATTGCTACCTTACCATCTAGAAAACATTTAAATTTAAAGATGCACAAATTTGTTTTTTCTTATTTAAAAGTAGAACTTCAGAATTAGTGTGGTGTATGAAGTGTCAACGTTTTTTCTGGGAAACAAAAAAAAAAGGAACTGGAGCAACTGGTGAGCTCTCTGCTACAGAGGAATAAAATACTTTTTATTCTTCTTTGCAATCAGAAAGAAACTCCCCCAAACTTTCTAACCACACAGACTTTTAAAGCTGACTGTTAAAAAGTAACAAACATCTGAGTCCATTTGGCTCAGATTTACCTGCAACATCTTATTGTCAAAGAAATGGAGAAAGTGGGACAAAATTTCTGCATATAAAGACATCCAGAAATAAAATACGCCCCGTCCGAAGTTAGCTGGAGATAAACTCACCTCACTCAGGCTTTGAAATCCAGCCTCTCCATCACAGAGTGCTCTGTAGTGCTGCAGCTCTCTTCACCTCTTGGAAACAGACTGTTTGATCACATCACAAGACTGCCCCTAATATTGTCATCCTTCTGCGCCTACAGTCTCTCCTTCGCCAGCGGAAATTTAATAAACTTCTGGACATTTCGTTCTCACCATTCTCCAAACATCATCTCCCAGCAACCGCTGAGAAGCTCGGCGCAGCGTAGGTGGAAATGATTAATCAGAACTTCTCGTGTAAAAGGCCAAGGCACTAACAAAGAGAAGAGGAAGATTGTTTCCTCTCTCTGCTCTGCTGCGACCAGAGAAGAGAATTTACCTTTTTTAAAAAAGCAAATTTTTTTTTTCTATATCAACACATTTTGGCAAAATGCTGCAGTTTTGCAGAGGAAGCTACACTTTCCTTTTCTTCTTTTTTTCGTTGTCGGATCCCACAAAAAGATCTGTAAGTGCATTAAACTACAAGATACCTAATTTTGAAATCCAAGTCAAAATAAAAAAGAAGCCGTAAAAGTGCTTCTTTTTGAGCCACCCCTGATTTCTTTAAGTTTTCTTCAAGTTTTATCTTTCAAAGTTTTTCTTTCAGTCCAGTCCTTGTGCCTAACCATTTTCAGAGGGAGGAGTGTTTAGTTTATTTGTGTTTTGTTCTCTTGTTTTCTTTTAACACTGACCTATGAGTCATTCAAGCAGAAGAAGGCACCAAATTCAGGAGATGAACCAGTGTTGTGTTTACACAACTAGTTTTTAATTGTTTCACTAGGGAGCGCTGATCCATTTACTCTTTGCCAAACCCCCATCAGAAATAGTCTCAGCTCTTAGGCTGCCAGTCTTAAAGGAGGGAAAAGGGGAGAAAAAGCACAGGTGTGCCAAATTACACAACAACTGGTCTGAAAATCAGTTGAAGCAAGTGCGATAGAGTGATGAATCCAAATTTTGTACATCGTATTTCCATTTTATGGCACGATGACTGTCCAAACTCACAACTGTTATCCCAGCTGCTTTTGTGACAAGTAAAAGCAAGCAAACATTTACTGAACCATCCATTTACAAATACATGATTAAGATAAAGCAGCACTATTTCAACAAGGTCTTTTCCAGCTTTAGTCTGTTGTCATTACTCTCACAGGGGCTTTAGTGAGAGGACCCCAAAACAGAGAGGAGCAGTTCCAATAAACAAAAGCTAGCCATTTAAAAGTCCAATAAACAAAATAGTAGAGTCCAAGTAGAAGTCTAAAAGCAAGACAAATAAAATCCACACAAGAACACATACACAGCAGAACAGCAGACAACTCTACAAAGGATGGGGGGAGGACTATTTATACACAGACTGCTAATCAGAGGAGTGGAAATATCAGGAAAGAAATGAGACATATTTCAGGGTAATCATGCAGGAAGAAGGGGCACAAGAGATAAACACTATCAAAACAAAGCAGGGGATCAATAAGAGCTGCACTGAAATAAGGACAAACATATAACATGCATGAACATAACAGAAGAGGTGACACAGAGAGGTATATAATGAGTCCACCCATGATGCTCTGGAATAAATGATAAACAAACCCTGAACCATCAATAAAACTACAAACCAAACAGAGAACAGGGATTAACTGTGGGGTCTGTGACAATTACATGTACATTAAAAAACATGTACAGACTCCAGTAATGACGATGGAATTGAATTCTTAATGAAGCAACTTGGGATACAACAAATTTCGATCTGATCTGATAACGTTGGAGTTAATTAATGATTTTTCAGCAATCCAGTGAGGTGGGCCAGTTTTGGGCCACGTTTAACACCTGGAGTGTAGCAGAACCAGCTCTGCTTGCAATGTAAAATATAATAAGGTGGGTTTATTAAAAATAATGAAAAATATTTTTTTCTAAAAATATGAAGAGCCTTGTTACTGTTGCCTAACATGAAGCTTGTCAGTCACATTCCTGATTGCATTTCACTTATAACTTCAGCAAAGTTAAAAACAAAAATATGAAACGCATATAATACATGAACAACAGCTGTAAGCTGGTTACACTTTTTAAAATGTTTCTAAATCCTCACTTTTCTATTCATTTCCAGATTTACCTGAAAGTATGACTTTGAGTCATTTTTGATGTCATATATGGCACCAAAAATTCAATAATAGGGATTAAATAAACATGATAAAGACACAGATGGTTTGGTTTACCTGACGTGATGTGATCAGTCTGCTGCCCACTTAGTCCTTCAGCTCTGCTGTGCTCTAACACTGGGTGTGTTTGTGTCTCAACCCCTCCCACCAGCCTCTCTTTTTATATCACTTCAGAGCACATCAAATCTCTAAACAACAAGGATTTATGTGCAGGACAGCGTCAGATGACCCCAGTCTGATGTGCATAAGTGGAAGCTGAACATTATAGGCACATTAAGACCAGATGTGTTTATCATGCGGTGGCTCGTATACAGTAGCGCTGAACGCGAGCCAAGAGTCCGAGTGTTTATTTGGAAATTTTCCACTAAAACCTTTGCATGCAGGTTATCCAAGAGGAACACAGAAGCTTATCAACACGTGTGTTTTAATTGTGTTTTAGTCTGTATGTTATAATTTTTTATTTTTACTTTGCATTGTTTGTATTTATTTATTTTACTTAATACATATTGGTTGGAAGTCTGTTAATTTATTATTTTTTATTTATTAAACACAAAAGTACAGCATAATTTATAACTGAGATATGTATGTATTACATATCTCTTTATTTAAGTATTATCATATGTGTGTAGTGTATTTACTTAAACAGTCTATGTTCTTTTAGCATGCTATAACAAAACAGGTGTTTCCTGAGACCCAAGCTATTGTTTAGGAAGGATCTTTAATTTCTACTAGCTATTTGGGATTAGTGTTACCTGATTGGTGTAACTCTAAGCATCTTTTTTGAATGTTAATAACATTAGTAATTTTTAATGTCCTCATATGAAGACAACGGGTTTATTTACAGCATCAGACAATAAAGTCACCAAAGTATAGCACACTTTAGCCACAGCTGCCCTGAGGCTAAAGTGTAGCTTGCCTCCACCAGTGTGTGAATGTGAGAGTGAATGAATAGTGGAATTGTAAAAGCGCTTTGAGGGTCTCGAAAAGCGCTATATGAATGCAATCCATTATTATTATTATTATTATTATTACTTTATTGACCAGGAGGAAGTATAAGGTTCAGGATGAGGACACAGGGTCTCACAAAGGTGACAAACTAAAGAGAAAACTTGACCCTAACACTGTTCTGCTGTGAGTGTAGTTATCCCATTAGAGGGATATGTGTCCTGTGATGAAACATATCTATTATAATGGGAATCTTTATTCAATCATTATATTTTTACAAAGTTGTTTTGCTCTTTTTAAGACGTCTTCATTAGTCAGTCTGTCAGTGCACGATGACTCACATCTCTGCTGAACTGATGGTGTTCATAGGTTTCTTGTTTAATATCCATATTAAATTTAATATCCACTGAAGGCAATGTCATCTATTTCCAATGATATAGTGATTTTGCTTTATCTGTCCAATAAGATGCTGACCGCTTTTATTTCTTGATCCAAGACTTACCTCTCATCTCCAACTTTGCATTAAAGTCACCCGTGATTGATCACAAGTCAGATTTATTATTTTAAATTTTCTGAAAAGACAAACAACACAACACATTTGTAAACACACTGCTTTATTAGTCAAGAGACTCAACTTTTCAGGAACTGATCAATTTATGCACAAACAAAAAATTTATGATGTTCATTTAAATGTAATTAATTTCAGACATCATATTTTTGATAATTAAAGTTTATCAAAAAGCTGTTTAAAACACACACACAGAACACACATCACACACGCCACACACACACACGCCACACACACACAAACTCGTTTTCATATCTTAGTGAGGACATGTTTTTAACATAATGCTTTCCCCAGACACTTACCCTAACCTTGACCCTTAGACTAAACCTAACCATAATTTAATTGTAACCCTGACACTAAAAACACATTTTGAGCCTCAAAAGTGCCTTCAAACTTGAGGGGAAGGGCACTTTTTCCCAATAGTCTGTGGTGGCCAGTGCGATCCTCTATGCTGTTGCATGCTGGGGGAGCAGGCTGAGGGTCGCAGATGCCAACAGACTTAATAAACTGATACGTAAGGCCAGCAATGTTGTGGGGATGGAGCTGGACTCCCTCAAGGTGGTGTCGGAGAGGCGGATGCTGTCCAAGATAAAGACAATGTTGGATAACACCTCCCACCCACTCCATGACATGCTGGTCAGTCACAGGAGCTCGTTCAGTGAGAGACTGAGATTACCGAAAAGCACCACTGAACGACACAGGAAATCATTCCTGCCTGTGGCCATCTCCCTGTACAACGCATCCACTTAACACACTGTTTGCTGCTACAGCTACACATGTTTCTTTTCCAACTATTTATTTATAAGTGACTTATGTATGTATGTATGTATGTATATATTGTACTATTCTTAGTTAGCGTATTGTCTGTCTTGTCTTAATGTTGGTTTAAAATGGAGCACTGTAACAAAAAATAATTTCCCCCAGGGATCAATAAAGTATTCTGATTCTGATTCTGATTCTGATAAGTGACTATTAGTCCCCACTACTTGTGGGGACTAATAGTCACTTATTGGGAAAAAGGCATATTCTGTCCTCAAAAAGATATCTAAACATGTACACACACACAGGTGTAACTAATAACATTAAAGATTTGTTTCATGTTGCCGTGCTGATAATTCTGCCACTGAAAATCAAGGCAGCTGTGTTGTGATTAGCTTCACCTGTGAGAAATGTCTTATAATACTGAACACTTTCCAAAACATGACAGATTTTAAAGTGAGCTTTTACAGCTTGAGACACCAGATGGAGCCATTTAAAATCAGCCGATAAACATTCCTCATGAAATCTGAAATAAAATGTTTAAACATACACAGTGTGCCTGGTCAAAAACAATGATTTCACATACTATCCACACATCATTTTAATCCAAAACAAGGATGTTACAAGAATCAGCAAAACATTACATGTGACACAGCAGTACCTTACAGCTGTATTCAGTCTGCAAAATAGGCTTTTACATCATCTCTTTTCTTTAGAAACATTTGGTCTAAACAGGTCGTTAACGCCTGACGACACAAAGCTTTGAAGAAGTCAGTCAGCTCTGAATTAACAGACTTCATGTAGCTGGACAGTCAGTGTGGAGGAGGTTTACTGGGTCTGTTTGCAGAGGTTACTGGTACATGAAGAGTGGTCATATCAGACTAAATGTTTTTGCACCATTTCTTCTTTTGAATTTGTTGCACAGTCTCCTTGTGACACTCTCAGGTCATCTAAGCCCCAGGTTTGCTCCCCTCAGATGGGACAGTTGGTGGTCTAACTTTTGAAGCTTCACTGACGGCTTTACACCGGTACCGAGAACCCCCCCTGTGGCTGAACTGGCTTTGCCGTCCACAGATTCTTCCCAAGATGCCTCTTGACATGACTGGAGATAGCATCAGCATGACCACAGGGTCCAGGAATACGTTACAGGTGCTCGTCAGCATAGCGTACGTCCTCCACTTCACGTTCTCCCCCATCACAAACCCCACGACGTGTGAGGCGTTGTAGGGTGCGTAGCAAACCACAAACACAGCGAGCGTGGACAGCGCAACAGCCAGCACTCTTCTTTTTCCCATGGGGGACAATTTCGAGCGCCACACCAGCGTGACGCAGCGCATCGTGCAAAAAGTTGACACAATCAGAGGCAAAAGAAACAGGGTGATGGCCATCTCCAGGCGGAGTGGCAGCAGCACGGCCAGCTGGGACGCACTAAAAACTTCATAGCAAACTGAGGAGTTATTACCTGTGGAAACAAAAAACCCCCCTTCTTCGACCATCACGCCAGGGCTGAGGTGTAGCACCACCAACAGCCACAAGACAGCGCTGATGATGCAGGAGTTACGAGCACAGCGCCATCTCTTGTAGACAATCGGGAATGCTATGCTGAAGTAACGACCCGCTGTTACAGCAGTGATGAACAGACAGCTGCCATACAGGGACGAGAAGAGGAAGAAGTTGTAGACAAGACACACGGGAGCAGGCAGCCTCCAGTCCTGAAGCAAAGTCTCCAGAGTCTTGACAGGCAGCCAGACTAACAGCCCCAAGTTGGCCAGACACAAGTTGAGGGCGTAGACCACGTTGGGTGTGGCACCATGTTTACGAGCCTTGCGCATGTACACAAAGAAGACGAGCAGGTTGGCAGGAAGGCCGAGCAGAAAGGTCAAGATGTAGATGATGAGAGCAATGCAGTCCTTGACAGCCAGCTGCATCTCTTCAGATGAGTTCACTAAACTGGTAGCACCGCCTCCAGTTTACCATGACATAGTTTGAAGGTTGAAGAAAAGTCCTGCCTGGAAATATGCACACTGCTGACCTTTTGTCCTCTCCGTTTATCTACAACGTCTTTAAAACAGCAAAGTCTCCGTTTGGAATGTTTTCCGAGGCGGTAAAGTGGCTGCAGAAGAGCCGGGTTTCTCTCGCCATCATGTGCACAAGCAGGTCTGAGGCACAGAGACAGGTGATGCCAAAAAAAAAAAAGAGGTGGTGGCCACAAATGGGAGGATGTGTATGGGCACACAGGGGGGCGAGGTTCATACGACATCATGACAGAGATGCAGATAACAAGACGTACTCACCCATGCAGAAGCTGGGGGGCATTTAGCCGGCACCAGGCCACCTTAATTGCCTTCTCAGTGAAGGGCAACAGACAGTTAGCATCTGGGCCCTTAAGTGAAATGATTCAGAATAATTCAACCTGTCAGGAAGCACATGCCCATCTTCTTAAATTCAAGGCTGTGTAAATGAACTGGAGGGCCAGGCAGTAAAGTCATAAATGTGCTGAAAACCGATGGTTAGTGCGAGCAGAGGATGGGTTGGGCTTTGGGAAATGGTGATTTGTTTGTGACATGAAGGCACTTTGAACAGTTTTATGGTGGACGGTGTTTTCCTTATTGTGGGTGTTCTGTGTGTGCATGTGGGAAAGTGTGTTAGGCGAGGTGGTTGTGTCATGCGGGAGGCTGCTGGTGAAGAAAATGGAGCAGAAAATTCACTCGACAATTTTTTTTTTCTAAGAATGGAGCTGCCGCCATTCAAAACACAGCTATTAGGTGTTTGATCAGTCTATTGATCCAGTCTTTAAAACCAACGTCTACAGCGTCCAGTCTTCGGATATTTGATCTGAATGTTTGCAATGAACTGACGACACTTTTCCTGTATTGTTAAATGAACGTGACAGTAGCACAGCTTTTATTTACCAGTCTGATTTTGTTTTTCCTTTCAGGCCGTTTCTGTTTGCACTGTCTTGCGTCATTTTCTCCGGTAGCGCTTCCATTTCTGTTATTGGTATTAATGCAGCACCATTACCTATTCGAATGCTCACTATGTTGTAGTTGTGTTGCCAAAATTAACTGCTTGACAAATTTAAAATACTTCAGTTATGCTCTGATGTTTTTCTGAGATATTTCCTGGAAAGAACAGCTTAAAATGGTTCCAATTATTGGGAAAACAGGGGCATCACAGATCATGTCTACATTAAGAAATGGGAAATTTAACACAGCTGTGCAAAAATGGAGAGTTAAGCACTGAAAAGCTAACCAGTAAACAGTTTATCTGTGTTTAAAATGAACCTTTCTTTCACAGAAAGAACTATTTCTGTGTAATTTGCACCTGGTGCAGTAATCGTGTCCTAGAAAGTAACTTCTTTTTTGTCTCACATGGGAGGGTTTTTTGGTTTTTTAGTGTTATTTTCATACAATTTTTTCTCTTATCTGAGCACATCTTACTCACCAAACATCTGTTAAAAACAGCTCACCCGAGATCATCTGGTGACTCATAAAAAGTCAGTGAATGACACAAACACATCCATCTGAAGACTTTACTACAGCGCCGGGTGAGGTTTATTATTTTAGGCAGGCTGTTTACCAGGTTATTTTATCAGAGTCAAAGTTCCCCTCATTATTGCAGCTTTTAAGCTGCCAGCAGCGTCAGTTGATCAAACAGTGTGGCAAAACTAAACAAAGCCATTAAAGCATAAAAGAACCAAACAGACATGAAAACGTGCACTTTCACGTGTGAATTTTGGATAATTATATGATGCCGGATATAGTTTGAAGAGTGAATTTTTATTTTACTCAAAAGACTGTTTAATCCACAATTTAGAGATGATAAATCAATCATTTCTTGCTGGATTATGATACACAAAAATGCAAATTAACTACACAAAACAGAGGTCAGGATAATAATTTTACAAGAGGAGAAAAGTTGCAGCTGGAGTAAGTTTGTTTTTTTTCTTCGGGACTACTTTGTGAAGCGAACTGTGCCCAGACTTTTACTGAGAGTGTGAGTAGATTTTTGTGTGTCCATTGCTTGTTTATGACTGCAGGGTTAAACAAATTAAACTTAAAATAACTATTCGATTTTTTTCCCTCAAAAACATTCAGACCATCTTCTCACTGAGCCAGCAGCTGCAGGTTGCTCCTCCCACTGGAGTTTGCCAGCGGGACCACGAGCGCCGAGTTTTTATTGTCGGTGCTGGAGGTTGCTGTGAGGCGAGCGCGGGTGTTCAGGCTTCGTTGTTCCAGAGACAGAGCTTCCTGTTTTCTGGAAAGATCCTGCAGCATGCGGAAGTGATGCAGCTTCATTTTCTGCAGAGAGTGCCTGAGAGAGGATTACAGCAGCGAGCAGGGATGAATATCAGCTCCGGTGGCATGCATGCTCGAGAAGTTCTTCTGAATTTGGTTTTATGGTTTATCATTACTTTAAAACATCACAAATCCATAAAATGTATTTCTCTTTATATTCAAGATTGTAAGAGTGACAGATATATTTTTATAGTCCTATGTTATTTCAGCGGTAACTCTATAACTTGTCTGTTTCTCTTCCATTAGATTGTTTATACACTTCCCAATCTAATATTCTATATTATATATAGAATACATATTCTATAATTGGACCTAATATTTATTTAACTGGACAAGCTTGAGATGTGATGATGCCACACATAGTATGATTTCAATAAGATCTCATATTGGTGATGGGAGAGTCAGACCCTTCTGTCTCCAGCACATCCCTCTGATTCTCAAGGTCTGGACATTGTCATCTTGGAATTTACCTGTGCCATCAGGGAAGAAATTGGTGGAAAAATAGTAAGCTGACCTAATTTTTCGGGCATTTAACGTCATTCAGTTACAACCTGCTGAACTGAAGCAACCTCCAGTCATAACACTTCCTTTACAGGGTTATGCAGTAGGCACCAGGCTTGATGAGTGCATCACTTCATCCACCTCTATTCTTACCCTGATGCTTCAACACTCCCAAACAGGGTTGAGAGTATATTACACAAACACATATATGTTTTGTGTAATATATACAATACTTATATATTATTATTATTGTTAATACTACTTAGTTTGGCCACACAAATAAAAATGAAGACTCACTGAGCTTCAGAGAGCTTCTGCTTCAGAGCTGCGATCGTGGCCTCCAGTTGCTGGACTTCATTAACGAGGCCGTGCTGCACCTGCAAACCATCACGATAAAAGGAGAAAAGACTTCTAATGCAATCAGGGACACATCTGCTGCTATATAACTGATATATACCTCATCTCTGCACAGGTCCACGTTAGGCCTGTTGGTCCTGGTCTCCAGTCTGGTGTGAGCAAGCTTCAGGTTGGCTGTCTTCGCCTGCAGATCTGCATCCAGCCCGTGGATGTCAATTTCCATTTCTGCCATTTCCTCCTCAGTCTACAGACGGATGTACAGGCAGTGGGAACATGCGATGACAAACTATACTCCCTCACCCTGCTGCTAACAGCTATTATTTATAAGATCTTACAGTTTTTATTTGCCACTCCAGCTCATGTCGGGCCTGCTCTTCAAGGTGATTACGTTTGCGGAGAGCAAACTCTGTGGCTCTGCGTTGAGTCTCCAACTCATTCTGCAGCTACGAAATAAAAAGAAAGAAAGAAATTAACAGCAAATATGCCCCACCTACTCTAAGCAAGATTAGTGGACAATATAAGAAAACCAAAATAAAAATAAATTAATCAAATTAAAGAAATCCTTTAACCATCTGCAGCGCCCCCGGGTGTTCAAACACCGACATGTGAAACAATGTTCTTATTAACATGTAAGTAAAACCTTTATCCCATAGATTAAAACTGCCTAGAATATCAATGATTTTTAAATTAAATGTGACATCAGAAGATTTTTTTTAACAAAATAAAAATATAATACACACATTTAATACACAAAGCGCATCTTTGTGATTAATAAATGTGGTAACTACATATCTCCTCTTTAATTTAAGCTTTTAAACATGGATCTATGATGTGTGCACAAAAAGCTTTTAATCATTAAATAAACATTTGTCAAATCTGGAGAACACAGACTGAGCACAGAGAGAGGGTTGCACCAATATTTGTGCACAGTTTAATGAATATTAAAGTCATTAGGTGGTTATCATTTTTTAATTTTTTTAAATTAAATAAAATACTTGAATAGTACTTGGTCGTATAATAAGTCATATTCAAGAACTCCTACTAGTTGCAAACCACCTACCTGTGCTCGGGTGAGGTTCATATCCTCCCTTATTTGCTGGGAAACCTGCATCGCCTCATGGGCACGAGCCACATTATGCTGGCTGAACTGGACCCACTCCTGGGGGGTGGAGGAGCTACACCAAAGACAGCAGTTATAACAGTAGTAGCTGCTATGAATGATACGGTTTAAATAGACAGCGGTAACCAAGCATCACAAAAATGCATAATACACAATATTACAGTGACACTCAGTAGTTATGGTTTTTGTGTGTAAAAGAACAAATTTTGTATATAAATTTCATGTAAAAAAGTATATATTACAAAAGCTTTATGAAAAGTTCTAACACCTTGTTGTGATTTGGCTCTATGTAACTGAAGTTGAATTGAATTTCCATAGTTTAGCAAATGAGGAGTAATATTCAACCAATCTTTTAATTATGATAATAATTATATCATACACTAGCATTTTATGATCTGCATACTTCATATTTCATGCACACCCTCATCTGAAGATTACCCTGATGGTATGCGAGTCGGGTTGGTCTTTAGGGAGATGTGGGGCGATTTTATCGTAAGTGACAGACAGGACATGTCAATATCCAGAGCATCCATCTTGTTCTGGAGATCAGCAGTCAGCTGGTGCCGCACCTCCTGCAGAATGCTTAGCAACCAGGAAAAAGGGAGGAGCTTAGAAGTTGGCTAAAGTCAACATGCATTTTCAGCAGTGGGAAACAGAAACGTACCATAGCTGCTCAAAGGCCCTGCTAGTGTGCTGCTGCAGAACTTGCTGCACTCTTTCAATCAGCTCCACCTCTTTCTTCAGCTGTTCGTCCACGGGGTCCGTTACCAGCTCGTGCCCTTGCCGTCCCTCCCTCAGTGTCAGGCATTCAGTGGTGACCTCCAGAGGAACAGCAGTGGCAGCCAAAGCTTGCTCGGTGTGCTCTTTGGACTGACACCAGCGTGAAGCCCACATAAATGAAAGTTATCTCAGAGACCAGGAGTAAAGATTT